TTAGGATTACTGTAAATCAATGTACACTCAGCTCCCATGTCCACCAATGCTATTACTATGAAAATTTTTTTGTTTGTTCTTTTTAGTTACTTAACAGTAGAGTATATTTTGACATATTTATACAAACATGTAGTACATCTTACTCTAATTAGGATCCCAGTCTTATGGTCTTACATGATGTGGAGATTCACTGTGGTGTAATCATTTATATACATAGGAAAGTTATGTCCGATTCATTCCACTGTCTTTCCTATTCCTGTGAATAGTGGTCCTCCCTCCTCCAATAGGGAAGGCACCCCAAACCTCATCAAGGTGGTAGCCAGTCTGAGATCCCCTCCTACCCCCCAGATTTCATGCCCTTTCTCAACTCCAGAGTTACCTAAACGTAGCCTTCTTTGGGATCCTGGCCAATCATGCCAATTATTCAACTCCAAGGTTGAAAATGCCCCAGGCATACAGTTTACTGATCCCAAAGGAAGAACTTGAAGAACTCAATAGACATTTTATTACACACTCCTCAGGGGTCAGGCTGGAATGCAATGGAGGGCCGTGGCAGGCCTACAAGCCAGGGAAATATAGAGGATAGGTTGCATGACCACTGCACAGATGAATTTCCTCAGATGTTTCTTAAGTACTTTACAACCAGGGTTATCCTGTTTAGATCCTCATCTAAAGATTAGAAATAAGTGACCAGCTCCTCCTCTCCATTTCCGCTGTTATCACATTCTTTCAGAATCCTTTTTATCTCACTGCAAGCTTTCCTAGGAACTGACTAGTGTTCAGCCCAACAAGTCCATTCTGCTTTTGGGTCATGTTGGTGTTATAACATTGCTACGGCCTCTGAGGGGCCTCTGAGGGGCCTTCCAGCTTTGGGTTTCTATGGTTCCTCATGGCCTGGGACTAGTGATGGCACTGTCTACAAGTGATTAGGTCGTGGGGTCTGGGGACATGGAGCTTTGCCCATACAGCCTTAGGAAGTCATCAAGAGCCTTGGTTCAGCTCCCTTCAAGGAAAAGAGGGAGCTGGGCCACATCCCCAGTGGGCTTAGCCCTGTTCCAGGCCAAGTTCACTCAGAGCGTGTGGTCTGTACTCTGGAACAGTGGTTCTCAGGGTATGGTGTCCAGACCAGTAGTACCAAGAGTCCTGGAAAGACCCAAATATTAGACCCTGCCCTAAACTTACTGAATCTGAAATTCTGGAGGAGGGGCTCAAAATATGCATTTCTAACAAATCCTCAGATGACCACACTTGAGCACCCACTGCTGGCCTGGAAGAGCTAGGAGTTCCATCGTCAGGACTTATTTGGCTCTTCCTCAAAGGGAATTGTCATAGTCTACCTGGGATGCTATCACAAAAAAACCCCAGATTGGGTGGCAATTGAACAACAGAAATTTATTCCTCGCAGTTCTGGAAGCTGGAAATGAGATCAGAGTGCCAGCATGGGTGGGTCCCGATGAGGGCCCTTTTCCTGGCCATAGATGGTTTTCTCTCTGTGTCCTCACATGGTGGAAGGACAAGAGAATCCTCTGGGACCTCTTTTATAAGGTTATTAATCCCATTCATGAGAGCTCCACCCCCATGACTTAATCACTTCTCAAAAGCCCTCTTCCTAATACCACTGGGGATTAGGTTTCAGCATATAAATTTGTAGGAGGTGGAGGACAGACACCAACATTCAGTCTATAGCAGGGACACATGCTGCCCCTGAAGACAGAAGTACAAGATCCTTCTTGGGCAAACTCCTTTGGGTCACTGAGGACCAAAGCAACCTGTCTGGTGACCAGGAGGTCTCTGTATCTTTTCATGTAAGTGACTTTGGGCAGGTAGCTCACACCTTAGAACCTCAGTGTACCTATCTGTGAAGTGGAGATAGTTACTTCTACCTTAGTGGTTTTGAGGATCAACAAGTCACCGCACTTTGGTTACCTAGAACACAGTAGGACTTTATAATAAGCACATAGTAGGACTTGCTTGCACTTTTCTCATCCTTCCATGACCATACTGCCCTGAGCTACCTGTTCTTCTATCATGTCATGCACTGCAGGTCCCAGAGGTGTTTCTGGGCTGGGAGATCATATTAGACACAGGGACCTTATTTAGTATTAAATACCCCACCTTAGAAAATTGGGGATCGCTTCTCTTCCATTTCCTCTCACACCCTAGAAAGTCACCACTTAATCCAAAACCCAGCTTCCTTTCCACCGAAAATCTCCATCATGCAGATAAAATATATCTCTTGGTGCTAAATCTGGATTTGGGTCCTGCCACCCTGAGTGCCTCCTTCCTGGCTTGTGTCCATCTCTGTGGCCCTGCCAGCTGCCCTGCTGTCCCTCACATGAGCAACTAGATGGGCAGTCTAGACAGTACGTGATCTTCTGTGCATCTCACTCCCAGGAAAACAGAATGATATCACCGCTCCACGCTGGTGGTGCTTCTAGCCCCGGGCAGTGGAGGAGTCACAGGGCAGGAAATGGATTTCTGGAGCCAGCGTCTGTGATCCCTGTCAGGTGACATCCGCAACTGCAGTGAAATTGGTGACAGATGTGAAGTGAAACAAGTCCAGATAAAAACTGGGGAGTTCTGGGAAAGGAGAGGATAGTCCCCCACCCCAGCCAGCAGGGCTTGCTTCTCATTTCCAGCCCAGCCAGCCAGAGCCCAGGATCTCCCTCTCACCAGGAACCTTCTTTGTATTCCCCTCCCCTCTCCTTTTTTTTTTTCTTTGTGCATTACTGGGGATTGAACCCAGGGGTGCTCTACTACAGAACTACATCCACAGCTCTTTTTATGTTTTGTTTTTTTTTTCTTTTTTGAATTTTAAGACATTGCTGAAGCTGGCCTCAAACTTGTGATCCTCCTGCCTCCTCCCACCTACTCACTGGAATTATAGGCATGCACCACGATGCCCCATTCCCATTCGTTTTGAACGAGAACCTAAATTTGATTGCTCTAGACTGTTCCTTCTCCAAAATCAAAATCAACAGGGCCTTGATCCTCACCCGCTTCTAGCCAGGCTGCTCTTCCTGCACAGACCAGGGTCTTGAAAGGGCTAGCTGGACTCATTGCCTCTATGCCTTTTATTTCCTCCCCTCCTTGGGTATCCCCACCCTTCCTCTGATACTGCTCCCACCTAGATTGCCTGAGACTCCTGAATCGCTAAGTGACAACAATTAGCCTCAGGCTTTATCTTACCAGAGCTCTGAGGCACCCCTCAGCTAACTGGACATGCCCTCTCAGTTTGTGTCACATGCCTCTTTGGTTGTCCTCCAACCTCTAGCTATTTCCCCTCTTTCCCCTCTTATCCTTCTGTGATGATGACCCCAGGGCCCCGTCCTTAGCTCCTGCTCAGCTCACCCCAGGCAGTTTTCTCAGTGTATCACACCCCATCATCTCACCCTTCACTTTTTATGGATGAGTCCCAACTTGATCTGACCTGGATTTCCCCTTAGCTCTTAATCTTTTTATCTAGCTTCCCACTTGATACTCTACTGGGATGCTCCATGGGCATCTCAAACCCATCAAGTCCAAAGTGAACTTCCCCCAGACCTCTCCTCTGCCTTTGCCCCTCTGCCTTGAGAAAGGTCCACCTATTATAGAAAATTTTAGGAAAGGCAGGGAAATTCAGAAATAGAGGAAAAAAGAAAACAAAATTCCTTCAGCCCCCCACTCACAGAAGCCAGTCTTTTGACTATCAGAGAGCACAGCCTTCCAGGTTCCTTTCTTTATTTTTAATATTCCAATTTTCCCACTTAACATTTTAGCACAAGAATGTTCCCAGATTAGTACCAACTCTGCATGACTTCAAAATTGATTAGTTAACAACTGTTTGGAAGATAACACATGAGTAGAAAAAAGGCAAAAGATACAAAAAGGCAAAAGGTACAAAAGAAAATTCTACTCCTCCCCAAGGCACCTGCTGACGCTGGTCACACTCATGTCCTAGTGATGTCCCATGTCACTCAAGACCACAACACAATGCTCTCTCACTTTTTATCCCCGTAACAGCATGGCATACACCCCCCACCCCCCAATACCCCACCCCCCCATATATCTTCTCTTTCTTCGCTTAACAAACTAACTTGGAAATCGGTCTAAAGTTTCTATAGAAAGCTTCCTCATTCTTGTGTTCTGATTTAGTGCACCATTGTGTGTTCATGCCAGAGGTTATTAAACTAGTCCTCTGTCTTTTAGATATGTCAGTTTTTGCCAGTCTGAATTATAAATGAGACCATGATAAGAAAGCACTGGGGTGGGGCCAGGGGCCTGGAAAGGAAGGAATAGATGTGAGGGAAATTTTGAAGGAAGAGGTAATGAATCTTGGAGTGAATGAAGAGGCAGGTTAAGGATGGTAGTAGGAAGCAGGGTGACAGGACGAGGTGCTGGTTGTAGGTCCAGGATGAATCTATTCTGAGCTAGTTGGCGCTGAGTGGAAGTGGAACACCAGAATGCATTGGCCCAGAGTATGGGAAGGCAATAAAGGGCAGAGTTATAAGCCAGACATTGAGCTCCTGGAGGAGGGGATGTGGTGCAAGTGCTAGGTCCCAGGCGAGCTCCTAATTTTAATCTTCTAAACAACCCTGAGGAGTGAGCATTTTATCCCATTCTGGAAACAAAAGAAGCAAGTGAGCAAGTGGCACACTCCACCCCTGCTCCCAGCACATGCAGGCCTGTATGTGGGGAGGAGAGAGGGAGTGTGGCCTGGTGGATGTTGCTATTGAGAGGAAATGGAGAGAATAGTAGTGCCTCCAAAGAGGCCCCACATGCATAGCACCTGGGGTTTTCTGCACTAAAAATAGAGCTTCTTCCCTAATTGACAATGGTGCAGGTGAACTCGGTCACTCCAGGTCTGCCAGCCATAGGGGACCCAGAGCTTCTGTACAATACTGGACTGTCAGGCCTCTGAGAAGCAAGGCCTTGGGATGGAGTGGGCTGTTAGAGCCCTGCCTGGCCTCCTGCCACCTCCCTTCCTCTAACCTGGAGTCTTGTGCTCTCTTTCCTGGCAGGTTTTGCCCATCATTATTTTCTTCAGCTGTGTCATGTCAGTTCTCTACTATCTAGGCCTAATGCAGTGGGTAATCTTGAAGGTAAGTACCCTGCACCCAGGCCTGGGCTCTTTTGCAGTCACCAGCTCCCAAGGTCCACAGCCTCCCCAAATCCTTTGATTCCAGGGTTCATACTTTCCCTAAATCCCCTGCCCCCTGGGCCCTCACCCTCCCCAAATCCTTTGCTTCTGAGGTCTATACCTTCCCAGAATCCACTGCTCCTATGATGCCACATTCTTCCAGGACCTACCACTAACCAAACATCTTTCACAAGCTCTCTGGTTATGATACTAAGAGAAATGGCATCCAGATCCAATGTGGTTTCCATGGGAGAGAGAGTTGTAGTCATTGGGCTATATTGAGTTGTTAGGGGAAAAAAATTAAAATGACATACTCAGAAGATCTTGAGAGGGCTGGGAATGTAGCTCAGTGGTAAAGTGCTTACCTGGTATGTATGAGGCCTTGGTTCCATCCCCAGCACTAATAATAATAATAACAATAATAATAATAATAACCTTGAGAGACTGTAACAGTGGGACACAGTGAACAGACTTCACATGTAAATATGTCAAATTCTGTGCTTGTGTTCATAAAATCTGCTGCATAAAAACAGGATGCGGGAGACAGCATTGGACCTGGCAAAGATTCTGAGATTTTAGCTGATTAAGCTCAGCATAAATCAGCACCATCAAGTGGCTGCCAGGGTGCAAAAACAACCTGTGCTTATGTTAAGAGCACACATTGCATGGTGTGAGGGAGGTGACTGTCCCCAGATTTGGAGAATGTATTCAACCTCAGGGCTGGTACAAATAGATTTTTAATCAAGAGAGTGAAAGGACTTGAAACCATGCCTTCCACAAAACAGTAGGCCTGGAATAGAAGAAATTAGGGATGAGAAAGCCATCTTTAAATACTTACAGAAGAGAGACTTTGGAAAGGGCAGCCAGGGAGGTACTAGCAGTGGAGAGAAATTTCAAGGGAAGTAGATTTCATCTTGACTACAAAGGAAGATCTTTTTGATACAGTGTTTTCTAGAACCCTTTCCACAAAACTCTAGTTCCCTAGCATGTTAATAAATATTACTGAAGCTAGGTGCAGTGACCTGTGCCTGTAATCCCAGTGACTTGGGAGACTGAGGCAAGAAGATTGAAGATTTCCAGCCCAGACGGGGCAATTTAGCAAGACCCCATCTCAAACTAAAATAAAAAGGGCTGGGGATATAGCTCAGTGCTAAAGCGCTTGCTTAGCATGAGTGAGTTTGGTTCCCAGACCACCAAAAATAATAAAATTAAACTTAAAAAGAGGTCACAATAGCAATGAAATTTCAATGTGAGTTTTGGGGAGGACAATCAAAATATATCAATGTCCTGGGCTGGGCTGGGAGTTAGAAGACTTGCAAGACTCTCTGATTCTGGAGCTTGATAATTCAGCTCCTAAAAAGCAGCCTGCTTGCTTTTAGATTGCCTGGCTGATGCAGGTCACCATGGGAACCACAGCCACTGAGACCCTGAGTGTGGCAGGAAACATCTTTGTGGGCCAGGTGAGTACTATAAATTTCTCTAAGACGGTAGAGGCCCTGAAGCCATGGAGCTCTGATTCAGTCCACTGAAGAGCCATTTAAACCTTCTCCCAAAGTCATCAAAGGCTGCTGTCCCAAAGGTCCTCCATATGGAGGCTATGCTCTTTGTCTAGCTCATGCCAGAGAGGACCTGCCTGGCACCTGCTGCCACCCTAACCCTAGGCTGACTTCATTAGCTTAGAGACTCACAAATCCTACATGAGAAAACTGAGGCTCCTGGGATAGGAACAGTGTGGTCAATAGCCCACAGTATAAGCCAAGACTTAGAATCCAGATTTTCTCCTTCCTCGACAGTGTTCTTTCTGCTACACCATTTTGTCTTTTTTACCCCCACTGTCTTTCTGAAAGTGGATTTTCCAAAGTAAACATGACTCTGAAGGTGCCATGAGTCCCGAGTCCCTTCAGGCCCAACCCTCTTGAGTGATGAAGACTCTGGAGGCCTTTTCAGGGTCTATCCTGGCCCATCTACCTAACATTTGAGTCCCCAAGGAACACACTTGTCAAAAGATGCCATATTTGATAGTTTATGAAACTTTGGAAACTATTTGCATCTTTTTTTGCTGTGGTATGTGTTGATTTCAAATATTTTTTGTTTATTTTTAGCCAACTAAGACAGATGTGCTGACAGGCAGAGTGTCCCAAATATTCCTTAAAATGTTCAAAATAAGGCTAGAGATGTAGCTCAGTGGCAGAGCACTTACCTAGTACGTGCAAAGCCCTGGGTTCAGTCCTCAGTACTAAATAAATTAATAAATAAATAGAGTAAGAAAGAAGACACTGATATACAAAGGCATTTACTTTATATGAGAGGCTGCGAACGCAATCTGTTTCTACTGATAAAATATAAATTGCATTGAATGTGTCACTGAGTAACATAAAGAGCTCCCAAGGTAAATTAACTTTGCACAAGTGGTTGGTCAAGTTGACCTAGATTTCTGCCTCATTTCCTTCAAGGGGAGTAGATGGGGAACCTTCAAAAATTACTGGAATCATTTCAACCTGTAAATGTGTCAGGCCTGGGTCCACTCCCTCCCTAGGGGTTTGCACCAGCCCCGTTGCTTTAAATGTTTAATTAATTAATTAATTTTTTGAGCTACATTACCCAAGCCAGGCTGAAATTTGATCCTCCAGCTTCACTCTCCTGCATACCTGGGATCACAGGTGTGCACCACCATGTCTGCCCTTAAATGCTTGAAATGTCTCTCATATCCCACTCTGGAGCCCTGAATTCTCCCCTTAACTTGACTGACGTGTCAACTGGTTTCTTATCCTTCCTCTTAGATATCTCAAATTCAGTAGGCTAAATCGTAAATACAGGACGCTTGACTTTCTCCCTCATCACAGCTGTGCCTCTCTCTAAGACTTTCCCTTCTCAGTAAATTATGTCACCTTCCACCACGTTGTTCAGACAGAACTCAGAGCCATCCTTCCTTCCTCTGCTTCCCTTGCTCCATGCACCCCCACCTGTCAGCAAGTCCTGCAGCTCTGCCTCCACGTCACATGCACACTTGCCCTCTGCCCTTCTTCCTTGCTACTAGCCACCCCGTCTCTCACCTGGATGGTGCTTTCACCTGCCTGTTCTCCCTGCTTCTATCCCACCTCTCCTATCCATCCTTTTTTATATCTGCCTGAGTGACCCATCAAAAACACCTCTAAGGACTTAGGATGTGACTCAAGCAGTAGTGCACTCACCTGGCATGCACGGGGCGCTGGGTTCAATCCTCAGCACCACATACAAATAAAAAAAAAAAAATAATGATGTTGTGTCCACTGAAAACTGAAAAAAAAAAAAAACACGTCTAAGGCCAGGTACAGTGGCACACACTTGTAATCCCAGCAACTCAGAGCCTGAGGCAAGAGGATCACAAGTTCAAGGCCAGCTTCAGCAACTTAGCAAGACCCTATCTCAAAATAAAAATTAAATAAGTGGCTGGGGATGCAGCTCCGTGGCAGTGAGCTTACTTACCATGCATGAGACCCTGGGTTCAATCCCTACTACTATAAATAAATACCTCTAAGCATGCTTTTATTCCATCTCTTTATCTCTAATTACATTATTTATCTACTTGGCTCCTTATTGATTATCCATAACCTCTCTCCCTCCATAAAACCCCTCTCCCACCTTCCACTGCTCCCAGGATATAAACTATTTACCATGGTATCCCCATCCTACAAAACAGTGCCTAGGTGCTCCATAACTATTTACTGAATGGATAATGAGGGGCTCCAGGCTTCCCCATATGCTCTGAAATAAACCCACCTTGTATGCCCTGTCTCGTTTCTTTACAACAAGCCTCATGGCTTTATGAGAAGCTCAGGCCTGGAGTTAACCTGTGCTTCCCACCCCTTTGCATGAACACAGGTAATTCTTGGCACCTCTCTGAAACTCTCTTTTCTCTCCTGGAAATGGGATGCCCAGTTCTGCCTCAGAAGGTTGAAAGTCATGACAGTGAGGTGCTTAGTGGGGTGCCTGTCACATGGCAGCAGTCCACACATGGGAGCATTATCAAACCAAGAGGGAGTCATAGGGGACCTTCCAAAGAAGTGGGCCAACATGGAGGTTCAGAGAGGCTCAGCCAAGTACAGACCACAGTTCTGACCTCACCCCCCATGTCTCTTCCCTAAGGACTCCTCAATGCTTACTCTGACCTCCTGGCTCTCAGGCAGGGGCTGGGCGGGGAAAGTACCCAATCACCCCAGCTCAGCCCTCTGCCATGTTTCCCATTTGTAGACTGAGGCTCCTCTACTGATCCGGCCCTACTTGGCAGACATGACGCTCTCTGAAGTCCATGTGGTCATGACTGGAGGCTTTGCCACCATCGCGGGAAGCCTGCTGGGCGTCTACATCTCCTTTGGGGTAGGGACAACTTTCCCTCTGCTTGGCTATACTGAGGGCCAGAAACCCACCTTTGGGGGCACCCCATGCAGATCTGGGCCAGGGCATCCCTGGGATGTTCTCTCTTGGGCCTCAAGCTCAGTTGCTGGGCTGGTGTGAGGAGACACCTCACCTGAGTGACACAGGCCTGAAGGGCTGGACCATTTGTTCATTCTTCTTACATGATCACTGGAGACAAAAATTCCCAGGGTTCTCTTTACTGAGCACCTACTACATGCCAGGCAATATGCTAGACGTTTTAGTATCCCCATTTTACAGTGAGAAAATTGAGGCTCAGAGAACAAGTAATGCTTAAAGTTAGGATCTGAGTCCAGATATATGAGATTCCAAAATTCATGCTCATTTCTCTAAGAACTCACACCTAGGCTGTCCAAGGAGGTCTGTTTTACTCTCCACCAATTGCCTCCCCACAATCTTTGGGCTCAGGTCCTTCCTCTTCTCTTAAATTATTGCTTTGCAACTTACAGAGCACAGTGCATTCATAGGTTAAATTCCAGTGGTGTGAATTGGTCCCTTAAATCAACCACAGTACTACTTCCTGGTAGGTAGAAAGGAATCTTCAAATGTGTTCCCTACAAATTGCTGAGTAACAATGTTATATATTTATAATATACCTTGTTCCTATTTTTGCTTTCATATACAAATTGTCAAAATCTTATTTTTTTTAACAATCAAAGAAATTCTTGGTTATTGTGGAAGTGAATAAAGTTTTTAGAAATTTCTCTTCCTGCCAGATGCATTTGTGCATGCCTATAATCCTAACTGGGGAGGTTAAGGCAGGAGGATTGCAAGTTTGAGGACAGCCTAGGCAACTTAGTGAGAGCTGCAGTAACTTAGAGAGAACTTGTCTCAAAATAAAAAAATAAAATAAAAGGACAAGGGAGGTATTTCAGTGGTAGCATGCTTTTGGGTTCAATCCCCACTACTCAAAATAAATAAATAAATTCATCATCATCATCATCATCATCATCATCATCATCATCATCATCATCCAATAATAAGCTGGATGAGTGAGTTAGTCCATACAATGTGATGCCATTCAGTGCTTAGAGTGAGGGAGGTTGTGGGTACTAACTGAGTTATCTTTGCTTGCCCCCCCACCCCTGTACTATGTATATATAGGCACTGGAAGGACAGAATGACCCACTGTCCCATTCACAGTCCCAAATTCCACCTATCCCATTTATGACCTTGAGGTGACTGGTGGGGATGGATGACAGGAGAAGCCAGCCTACCCCTTAGTCCCTCTCACTCAGGACCTTTGACCACACCAGTAAGGTCAGCTCCATATTTCCATGAACTACCTGGGCAGAATTGGTGGTTGTGTGACTTTTAAAGAAGGCCCCTTGCACTCTGTGGCTTTGTCTTCCAGCCTGGCACCCTCCTGTTTAGTATTCCAGAACCATCATTTGATTTGCATCTTGTCTTACCAAGATCCAAATGCATCCCTGCCTACCCCACCACCAATGGTTTGTTGGAAGGAATTTGATATTTCAAATTGGGAACTCAGAAATTTGTTCCTAAAACCTTTTTCATGGTGAAATACTATGGAAAAGGTATGACATAATATTTTTGGACTTAGGGCCTTTAAATGTTTTTATATTTCTCAGGGCTCCAAAGTCAGTTATAAGAACATGCCTGGTATTCTTTTTAGCACATGGGCATTGCCGAGACTTCTACCATTACTTAAAAACTAACTATGGGCGCTCCTAAACTTACAATGGGGCCACATCCTGATAAACCCATGGTGAGTTGAAAATGCATATACTTCATTTAACCTATGGACCATTCTGACTTAGTCACATAGTGCACTGCATGCAGAGCATTGAGATGTTTCCTTGGACTGGACCATTGGCTCAGCTGCCTGAGATCTGCTGCCACCAGCATTGCAAGAGTATCTTGCATATTATTAGCATATCACTTGTCGAATGTGACTAGCCCAGGAAAGATCAAACTTCAAAATTCAAAGTACAGGGCTGGGGCTGCAGCTCAGTGGCAGAGTGCTTGCCTAGCATGCATGAGGCACTGAGTGATCCTCAGCACCATATAAAAATAAGCAAATAAAGTGAAGGTTACAAAAAAATTAAAACCAAAAAATTCAAAGTACAGTGTCTATAGTGTGTATAATTTTCACACTATCTTAAAGTTAAAAATCAGTCAGTTGAAACGTTAAGCTGAAAATTATCTATGCTGGAAGAACTCCCTCTCTTTTACACAATCTGGCTTAAAACTCAGTCCCCCTTCTTCCCTTTTTTACTCCAGAGTCCACCCAGTCCTGGGCAGTCTGGCCTCCTAACTGACAGGGCCTCGATGCCCACCTCCACAGAATGTGCAGAGGCACCCAGGATGAGCCATGTGATCACAGATTTCTGGGTTTGGAAGCCCCTGGCTACAGCCATAGTGGCCTGGGGAGGAGAAGGTCACCTAACACCTACCTTCCTCCTTCCTTCTCCTTCCCTCCTCCCACTGGATCCACTTCAAATCTGGTTCCAGAGCAGCTCTCTTCTGCCCCCACCTGGCTCTGGGCCTCCTTTGCCCAGTCCTGGGCTTCTTTCCCCATGGTCTCCTGTCAACTCCTTCTCCAGGCTAGCTCCTCAGGGTATCTCTGGTTCTTCCCTCAACCCCTGAATTCCAGATAGATCCCTCTTGATCTTTCCTCCAAGCTACCAGTTTCTTAAGACCTTTCTCTTTATGGCTCAACTTCTAACTCCCTTTTCCTCACCCTTCCTATGGCCCATATCTGGATAGTTCCAGACCCACAAGGTCCAACACAATGGCCACTAGCCACACATGGCTATTGAGCACCTGAAATAAGGTTAATCCGAAATGAGATGTGCTGCAAAACCTATCACAGAAAAAAATATAAGATATTTTATTAATAAGTTGGTGCTGATTACATGGTGGAAAGAACATATTTGGATATAAATATATTGTGTTAATTAAAACATTATTAAAATTGAATTTCAACTATTTCTTTTTACTTTTTAAAATGTAGCTCCTAGAAAATGTGAAATTATGGATGTGCTTCCCTTTATATTTGTATTGGACAATGCTGGTCTAGGCTTTCTCCCATGGTCCCCAGCTCCAAGGGGTCACTCAAAGGAATTATTTCAATTGTGACCTCCACATATGGCTCCGTCTTCACTGTTTTCCCCAAGCCTCTGGAGTAGGCACCAGCTTTCTGTGCTGACGCCTAGAAACTCACATCTCTACTCTGGCTCAGAGGCCACCCTGAGCGAGAACCAGATGTGTACCTCCAGCCCTGAAAACAGGCTGGCCAGTGACATGAATTAGTTGTCCACTCAAGTTCCTCAATGAGTTGTGCAAGAGTGGCTGCCTCAGAGACAGGGTCTGTGAGCTACTGCTTAGTTTCCACATCTGCAAAAGAGCAGACCTACTGGCCACCTCCCAGCAGGATAAGATTAAAGGCAATAATAGGCAGAAAATGCTTAAGAGCATGGTGTTAAAGAAGTAGTAGTTCTTTTCCTGACATATTGGAGTCAGAAATCTGTCCCACATGGCCCATTTTATGGTTTGTACTGGGTTTATTTCCTTTCTCAGTAAAAATCCTTTCGAAAATTGAAGCCGAGTGTTCTTATCCTCTCTCTCTCTCCATGGGACTTTGTGGGTAGAGAGTGGAGGTCGTTGGGCAGGGGAAGGCCTAGGATGCTGGGAAAGAGGAAATGGATTCCTGAGCTGGTGCCTGGGAGGCAAGGCTGGGGGACAGCATGACCCTGCAGAGTGGCTGGCAGTGGAGGGCCACACATGGGCTGAGCCAGCACCCAAGTTGACTGACTGTACAAGACTCAGCCCTTTCTATGAAGAGCAGGGGATGACCAGCTGTGGTCACAACCAGCCCACTTAAAGGACAGAGTCCAGCAATATGACAACGGCAGAGTGTGTGCCTGCTGGGAATCAAGTTTATAAGCCAGATGTAATCTCTAAACTGGAGGAAAAGGCAATGTCATGTCTGGCAGAAGGGAAAGCCCATGACAGATATAACACTGTCCCCCTGGAGGCAGGCAGCCCAGGAGGAAGCAAGTGAAGTCCCCTGCCCCCAGGTAGGCTTTATCCTCTGAGTTTCCAAGTACCTGGCCTGAGGAGGTGTCAGGGCTGCTGCTGGTTCTTGTTTGTGTTTCAAGGGGTGTCTGCACTTCATTGAAAAGAAACCACTGGGGTTTAGAAAAAGAAGGCACAGCCTGTGTATCAGAGCCTGAGATGGTCTCCAGCCCTGGTTCCTCATCTGCACTTCCTGTACTTCCCTTAGATGATGATAAGCTGTCCCAACATTTCTTCTGTACTCTGCTTTTATTAGCAGAGCATATGTCTTCAACTCACCTCCCTACTTCTTTTCCTTTTTTAAAAAATTTAAAAACTGAGATTGGCAGCTACTTGGGAGGTTGAAACATGAGGATCACAAATTCAAGACCAAATAAAATATAAAAAGGGCTAGAGATGTAGCTCAGTGGTAAAGTGCCCTGGGTTCAATCCCTAGTACCAAAAAACAAAAACAAAATCCAAAACAACAGCTGTCCACAGAGGCTCGTGCCTGAAATCCCAGCAGTGAGGGAGGCTGAGTCAGGAGGATCACGAGTTCAAAGCCAGCCTAGCAAAAGCAAGGCACTAAACTCAGTGAGACCCTGTCTCAAAAAAAAAAAAAAAATACAAAATAGGGCTGGGGATGTGACTCAGTGGTCGAGTGCCCTGGGTTTAATCTCTAGTACCCACCCCACTGCAAAAAAAATCCAAAACAACAGTGATTTAAAAAAAACAAACAAACATGCTATTGGCTTAATGTAAACTTAAAGGAGAAAAAGACTATTTTGCTGTTCTGAGTATTGTAAAGATGTCAAAATGCACCAAGAAGAGAAAAATGACTCCTCGCCCCACTTGCCAGCCAGGGGAAATTTTGGAGTATTTCTGACCTTTTTTTTATGACTTTTTTTTTTTTTTTTTAGCGCAACAAAATTGAGAGCAAGATAGAGAGATTTCCCATCTATCTCCTGCCTTCACCCTTGCATATTCTCTTTGTCACCAACATCTGCTCTTCTTTTTATGCATAGTTTTGGAGTTGTCTTTCTCCCATGGTTGTGGTTCTGCTCTATGTGCAGTTTTGTGGGCATTTCCCCGTGTCATCAGGAAACCTTGTAACTGTGGTTTGTGATGGCAGCCTGACTGTGTTTAGCCATTCTTCCAATGTTAGATGTTTGAGTCGCTTCTAGTTTTACCATTTGAAAACAACAGGTTGGGGTGGGGGAAAGTGCCTCATCTGTCTCTGTGGACGAGAACAGGGAAAGCAAAGGGTTTGGGACCACAGTGAGGATAAAGCTTCTGGAAGGGAAAACTCTAGGAGCTGATGCTTCACCATCTTGCTGGGGAGGGCTTTTACAGGGTGGCTCCCAGAGGCAGACCCAGGACCACAGATGGCTCTTAGAGGAGGCAGATTTTTTAACAGTTCCCTAACTGCAAGAGAGGGTGTGATGAGCCGCCCTGAAGTGGTGAGTTCCCCATTATAGTAAGTAGTCAAAGATGGATCCAATTCAGGGATTATAATCCCACACGGAACATAACCTATGACAAGGTTGAATTGGGTGACATCTTTGATCTGTCTCAACTCTCAGGTTCTGGAGCTTTGTTTGAACCATCACAAACCCTTTAGTTAATGGAAATCTCAGCTCATGGGCATGAGGGGTTAAAGAGAGACAGTCTTGAAAGGAAGGAAGAACCTTGAACCTGAAGCCAAAAGATATGATGAGTTTTAATTCTTTTATAGGTAGGGAAACTGAGGCCCCAAAGGATTAAATATGGTTTGCCCTCAGTTTCCCTAACTATAAAATGTGGGTAACAAACCTTCCCTTTCCCCACCTATAAATGGGGGGGTAACAATACTTGCCAGGCCCAGTTTACAGAAGTACTGGGAGGAAATATGTGGGCTTTTACCCGTAGCCTGTGACCCTCTATACATAAAAGGTATAATTATTAGTACAATGACAATGGCAATGAGGACATTAATGACAATGAGGATATACCAGTGGGACGAAGTACACATTTCCCCTGCTGCCCTGGGTCACTCTCCTTGGCAGTGGCCCTTTCCTTTAACTGTCCTCTCTCTCATCTTGCAGATCGATCCTGCGTCATTAGTTGCTGCCTCTGTGATGGCTGCCCCTTGTGCCTTGGCCCTCTCCAAGCTGATGTACCCAGAGGTGGAGGAGTCCAAGTTCAAGAGTAAGGAAGGAGTGAAACTGAGCCACGGGTGAGAGCAGCAAGGGGGCTGGCAGAGAGGGCGGTGGTGCCCGGGACCCAGAGCAGAGGTGGAGGGCAACAGCACGTGTTCTCTCTGCCTATTACTGGCTTCCTGAGGCTAGGACCACCTCTGCGGTCACTGCTCTGATGGTGGCTTCACTTGCTAAATAGACTCCAGTTCTCACGTCTTACAACAGACTGGTCAAAGCCTGTGGGTGGGGCCCGGCTCCCAGGGGTGGGGCCCGGTCCCTGGAGGTGTAACCTGATGTGGGAGGGCCCTAGAAAGGCTCCAGGCCATGTTCCCTGTGTGCAGAGCTCTGACCACCAGGTGGCACCACGTACTGATATAAAAGCCAACTTGATGTCAGTGACTACTAACATGTCATCACCATGTCTTAAAAACTTTTAATGGGGGGGGGCCTGCGGGGGCAGGGGGTGTGTCGGAGGACCTCCTGAGTGCTAAGCAAATGCTCCATTCCTGAGCTACACCCCCAGCCCATATTAATCCTTTTAAAATATTGGAAAGATCCAGACGCCATGGTGCATGCCTGTAATTCCCGCAACTCGGGAGATTGAGGTGGGAGGATCCCCAGTTCGAGTCCTTGCCTCAAATAAAAAGGACTTGGGGTGCAGCTCAGTGGTAAAGGGTCCCTGGGTTCAGTCCCCAGTACCAAAAATAAACAAACAATAAAATAAGATTAAAAATAAAATAAAGATATTGAAAGGGTACCACTTTGGATTAATATGCTTGAGATCACAATGGGTAGCCCAACCTCAAACCTCCTTGAAGCTCTATAGCAGCACTCTCCTACGGAAATAGACTGCTAGCTATGGGGGTCTATCGCTTTACATTCTCTAGTCACTGTCTTGAAAACAGTAAAAAGAAACTGGTGATTTTAATAAAATATTTTACTTAGCCAAATGCATCTAAAATATTGCCATTTCATCATATATTCAGTGTAAAAAGTACTAAGGATATTTTGCATTTTTTAAAATATGAAATCCTCAAAAATCTATATATTTTACACTTAAAACAGAACTCAATTTGGACCAGCTTCCTTTCAAGTGGTCACAAGCCATATGGGGCTAATGGCTGCTGCCATGGACAGTGCAGTGCTAGAAATGTGGGTCTTATCCCAGTGCTGGCTCCTTCCTTTGGGTCTCAGAGAAAGTAAGGATTCTCTGATTCTGAAACACCGCATCCAAGGTTCCTCCTGGAACTTCTAGGATGGGGACCCTTGTTGGTGGGCAATCATGATCACTCTTCATCCCAATAACAGAGAGGCCCAAAACCTCGTGGAAGCAGCCAGCAGTGGGGCTGCCATCTCAGTGAAGATGATTGCCAACATCGCCTCCAACCTGATTGCGTTTCTGTCTGTGCTGGCCTTTGTCAATGCTGCCCTCTCCTGGCTGGGAGACATGGTGGAGATCCAAGGGCTCAGCTTCCAGGTGGGGTTCTCGGATGTGGAGGGGAAGATCCTGGGGTTGGGGCTGGTGGGTGGTGACCCAGCAAAGCCCAGGCTTTGCCCTCAGTCCTAATCAGTCTTCTTGCTCTTGTACCCTCAGCTCATCTGCTCCTACATCTTGAGGCCTATGGCTTTCTTGATGGGCGTTGCCTGGGAGGACTGCCCAGTGGTGGCTGAGCTGCTAGGAATCAAGCTGTTTCTGAATGAGTTTGTGGCATATCAGGAACTGTCCCAGTACAAGCAGCGCCGCCTGGCAGGGGTCGAGGAGTGGGTTGGTGCAAAGAAGCAATGGATCTCTGTGAGTATCTTGGTCCCACACAGTTGCTCCTGAGGGACAACCCCTCCACCACACACACACACACAAAGCTACTTTCCTGGCTACCTGGCTGAGACACACTGTGGCGATATTTAACCACCCATGTTATTTATTGTCCTGGGAGACAGGACAGCATCAGGCTTATTGCCATCTTCCTCAAGACCTCTCAGGAGGCTGCGGTGCTGGAGAAGAGCATTGTTTGAAGTATTCCTGCTCTAGGTGGGCCACCATTGGCTGTGGCATTCGGCTAGCCATTGCAACACCTGTCTTCTGTTGGAAAACAGGAGTCTAATACTCTGTCTACCCCAAAGAAATACATATGAATGTCCAGTGGGCTACATACATGAGTGTGCCGGGTGACCTCCCACCATGGTCCCTGTTAATATATTGGATGCAGTTTAGGGATTGGCTCTTTCTGTGAAATTTTATTTTAAGAACTATAAGATGCTATAAAAATTAACCCTTTAAAAAAAAACACTAACTCTAGTAACATTGAGAAAGAAAAAATTGCCAGATGTGGTGGTGGTGCATACTTGTAATCCCAGCAATTTTGGAGGCTGAGAAAAGAGGATGGCAAGTTCGAGGCCAGCCTGGGGAACTTATCCAGACCCTGTCTCAAAATTAAAAATTAAAAAGGGTTGGAGATGTAGCTCAGTGGAACACCCCTGGATTATTCAATCCCCAGTACCACAAACACACACACACACACACACACACACACACAGACACGAATGCAAAAATTACCTATAATCTCATCATACTAAAACTATAGTTATTGTTTATCCATTTTATTCTACTCTTTTAAAGAGAATTTACATAATCTCTACTAAAGCATCCATACTATATTGTAGTGTGCTGGGTGACCTCCCACCACGGTCCCTGTTAATATACTGGATTTTCTTCCTTCCTTCCTTCTTTTCTTCCTTCCTTCTTTTCTTCCTTCTTTCCTTCCTTCCTTTCTCCCTTTCTTCTATTCTTTGCTTACTATTATGAAATTAGCATCATTTCTTTAAAATGTGGTGGTGCGGGCTGGGGATGTGGCTCAAGCAGTAGCGCGCTCGCCTGGCATGTGTGTGGCCCAGGGTCGATCCTCAGCACCACATACAAAGATGTTGTGCCCGCCGAAAACTAAAAAAAAAAAAAAAAATCTCTCTTTCTCTCTCTCTCTTAAAAGAAAAAGAAAAAATGTGGTGGTGCCAGGAACCTAGTACCGGCTAAGCATGAGCTTTACCACTGAGCTACACTACAACATTGTAGTTGGACACAATACATTTGTTTTATTTATTTATTTTTATGTGGTGCTGAGGATTGAACCCAGGGCCTTGCATGTGCAAGGTGAGCCCTCTACTCCTGAGCCACAGCCACAGCCCCCGACATGATTTTTGAATCGTGTATCCTCACGAATTTAACCAATTTCCCGCTGTTGGGCCATTCAGATGAATTCCATTACTTGGCTGTACATGCCATACAGTGTGGAAGTGAATCTTTGTGTATAGTACTGTTCCCACCTTTTTGGTCATTTCCGCAGGAGCTTTCCCAGATGTGGGCTGGTTGAATCACATGGCATGAGTCCTCCTGTGGTTGCTCCCAGTAATTTTCCCAAAGGGTTGGAACAACTGAAATTGCCACCAGCTGTGCCGGTGAGCATTTATCTCACCACATGCTGAATAGCACTAGGGAGTTTCTACTTAGAAACAAGTTTTGCTACTTTAATGGGCAAATAGTAGCTCATTGTTTTATTTTTCATTCTTGGGTGACTGAGAAATTTTAGTAAGAAATTTTTCTTAACTTCAATTATTTTTAAGTCTCTCCCCACCCCACCCTCACTCACCACACTTGGGACTACACCCAGGAGTGCTCTACCACTGAACTACATCCCAGCCCTTTTTATTTATTTTTATTTATTTATTTATTTTGTTTTGAGACAGGGTATCAACTCAGTTGCCCAAACTGGCCTAGAACTTGTGATCCTCCAGCCTCCTGAGTAGCTGAGATTATAGGCATTATGCTTCCAGTAGCCCAGCTTCCAACTACAACTTAAAATTTAAGTTGTAAATGAATATGTTTTTTAGGTTTTTTTTTTTTAAGTGTATGAAGTAACAGCATGTTTCCCCTCACTCCTTGTCCTTACTTTGATCTCACCACACCTCAGAGGTAATCAAGTGTCTGATTCTTCATGATTTTTTTTTTTTTATTTTGTAGGAGGTACCGAGGATTGAACTCAGGTGCACTGAGCCACTGAGCCATATCCCCAGCCCTATTTGTATTTGTATTTAGAGACAGGGTCTCACTGAGTTGCTTGGCGCCTCGATAAATTGCTGAGGCTGGTCTGGATTTAGGATCTTCCTGTCTCAGCCTCCTGAGCCACTGGGATTACAGGCTTGCACCACCGTGCCTGGCCCTGTGCTCAGCTTTTTAATGAATCTTATTCTTTCATCAAGTATTTGTGGAGATCATTTAGGTGCGAGGCACTCTGCTAGGCAAAAAGGATAAAAAGGGGATTTAAACAACCATGACTCCTGGTCTCATATCTCTCTTATTGAGAGACACAGGCAAAACACAGTAAAGCAGAGTAATGAAAGATTACCACAATTTGTGGTAAATTTTATAAAGGAAAAACAAGTAAAAACAGGGAGGGGGGTTCTCTTGGCTGAACTGGTTGGAGAAAGTCTCCTTGAGGTGTATGTAACATTTAGGCCAAGACTTGAAGGGAAGAATATTCTAGACAAATGAAGAGGCATATGCAAAGGCCCTGAGATTGAAAGCACATAATATGCTCAGCGAACTGAGGGTAGTACAGCTAGAGAATATTGTGAGAGTATGGCTCAGGGAGTATAGGAAGTCACTGAAGACTTGACCTTTTACATCTTAAGAAAGTCATATGAGCTGGGCATGGTGTTGCATACCTATAATTTCCAGCCATTCAGGAGGCTGAGGCAGGAGGATCACAAACTCAAGGTCAGCCTCAGTAACTTAGCAAGACCCTGTCTCAAAATAAAAATAAAAAGGACTGGGATGTAGCTCAGTGGTAAAATGCTGGTTCACACTCTCAGTATTAAAAAAAAGAAGAAGAAGGTTGTTTAGCTGGTCTATAAAGCACCATTGTATGTGAGCAAGCAGGAATAAGATATTTTTTCAATTAATATTTGCATAAACTTTTAAAATTAGAGCATTATAATTATACATAATATTTGAGTTCATTTTAACAAACTAATACATGCAAGGAATTTGATTTCAATCCCCATTTCCCCATTTTCCCTCCCCTCATCCCTCCCCCATTCTCTCTACTCTATTTCCTTCACTCCTTTATTTATCTAGTTTTGATGCATACATTAGTTATGTTATAATGAAATTAACTCTTTTCATATTTCCTCTCTATATTTTTCCTTGTTTCTTCTTTCTTTTCCCCTTCATTTTCTATATAGGGATTTGTTTTCTCAACATAGATTTTTACACCAAATCTTTTCCTTTGTGATTTCTCCTATTATTTCTGTAATTTATATGCTAAAATGATATCTGGTAAGTATCAAATCCCTGGAACAAGGCAAGAAAGTCATTAAGACAATGAATTTTTCTAGTTATAACTGAGTTCAAATTCTGACAAAGTCACCTTCTTGCTGTGTGAACTTCTTACTGAACCTGAGTCTCAGTTTGGTCCTCTCCAAAATGAGTGTAATACTTGTAACTTGTAACTATAATTATTATTATCCTAAATTTTCTATCATTCTACATTTAAAATATTTGTCTTCTTCTATGATCTGAAGGGAATTTTATATATAGTGTGAGATATGGATCTAAACCAGTTTTTCCCCCAAATTGTTCCATTTTGGGCCTTAATGCTTCTTTCTGGAAAATTTAAAAAAAAAAAAACACTTCAGAACAAAACAGAAGCACTACCTTGTTTAATTGCCCACTCAATGCCTGGTATTTCCCATATATCATAATATAATCCTTATCACAGTCCTGAAGCTTCAAGAAGCTGCTGACGGGGCTGGGGATGTGGCTCAAGGGGCTGGGGATGTGGCTCAAAGCGCTTGCCTGGCATGCGTGTGGCCTGGGTTCGAACCTCAGCACCACATACAAAGAAAGATGTTGTGTCCGCCAATAACTAAAAAATAAATAAATAGATATTAAAATTAAAAAAAAAAAAGAAGAAGCTGCTGACCTGCCCATGGGTGGGGACAAGCCTGAAAGCCAGGCTGGACGCCCGGTGCCTTACTCTTTCCAGTGGGGCCCACTGGGGGGGGGGGGCGGGGGGCCCTTCTCCAAGCGCCCCCTCTGGCCAGAGTGAGAGACTGAAGCAGGCTGAATCACACCCCAAAAGGCTGGTATTTAAGAACAGGGGGTTGAAGATGAGAGGAGCGAGGGCAGCTATGTCGTTGAAGTGGCAGAATTCCAGCTGACTTAGATGTGGGAGAGCAAGGCCAGGGGAAGGGGCAGCACAGAGGGTTCAGAAGTCAAGGGCACATGGGAAGTGGGTAAAAACAAAGCCAGAGCCAGGGCAGCGTCAGAGTGCTCTTGTCCCAACTGAGGGCAGCCCGTCCTCACACACCGTCTGTATTTTCAGGACAGAGCAGAAATTCTCACGACCTACGCCCTCTGTGGATTCGCCAACTTCACCTCTATTGGGATCATGCTGGGAGGCCTGAGTGAGTCCTGTGGGGACCCCCATCCCACCCGGCCCCAGCATCTGAGGGAGTCAGGAACCTGAACTCAGTGGGGACTCAGGCCTCAGTTGTCCCATTTGTCTAAGGCAGGAGCCTGAACAAGATGGCCGTGGGGCTCAGCGGCCCAGTCCTAGAGTTCCATGATTTCTCTGCTGCAGGGGATGGCCCCTCTCCAGGTCCTCCTTCAGGAAGCCTCAGGGCTTAGTCCCACAGTTGAAAGGGGTGATGAAGTGAGTGAGCAGAGAGTGAGTTGGGGACATAAATAAAGGAAGGACATTTCCCACCCCTTCTGTTTCCCATTTCCTACTTCCCCCAATGTGAGTTCTCAGGGGCAATGTGAGTGCTTCCGCAAATGTGTTTTCTCCCTTTTCCCCTCCACATCCCAACAGTAGAGAGGAAGTTTCCACACTGTTCTCAGCTTTTTGCAGGGGTGGGTGGTTGTACTAGAACTTGAACCACGGAGCCACATCCCCCAGCCCTTTTTATTTTGAAGTTGCTGAGGCTGAGGGCTGGGACTATAGCTCAGTTGGTAGAATGCTTGCTTCACGTGCACAAGGCCTCTGGGGGCAATCCCCAGCACCACACTCTCTCTCTTTCACACACACACACACACACACACACACACATACACACATACACACACACAAGTTGCTGAGGCTGGCCTCCAACTTTTGATCCTCCCACCTCAGCCTCTTGAGTTGTTGGGATTACAGGCATGTGCCACCACAGCTGGCTGTTCTTAGCTTTTCAACAATAACATCCTCTTTTTGCAGCCACCCTGTGGTACAATCAGCCTGTGTGTGTGTGTGTGTGTGTGTGTGTGTGTGTGTATGTGATTGTTTCTATAGTGCTGGGGATCAAACCCAGAGCCTTGTATGTGCTAGGCAAGCACTCTACCATGAGCCTACACCCCCAGCCCTAATCAACCCATTTTACAGAGCAGGAAACTGGATCTCTGAGAGTAAAATAACAGCCCAATTCATTCAACTAACAAGTGTCTGAGCCTATATTTAGTCCCAGGTCTGCCAGATTTGATAGTTAAATTCTTTTTCTGCTTCTGCCACTGATGATGTGTGGAGGGGGACTGGATCATATCCTAGGGGGCAGGAGCCAGGCCTTAGAGGACTCCCAAACTCGGGTGACCTGGCAGGGACAACATCTGTCCTCTGACCATGCAGAAGAGGAGAATCAGCAGATGAGCCATACTACAATCTGTGGTCGGAGAGGCACATGGAATCCCTGGCCCTGAGCACTCTTGTCCCCTTGCAGCCTCCCTGGTCCCCCAGCGGAAGAGTGACTTCTCTCAGGTTGTGCTCCGTGCGCTCTTCACGGGAGCCTGCGTGTCCCTGGTGAATGCCTGCGTGGCAGGTGAGTTCAGGCCAGTGGGCTTGGAACTTGGAGCCCTAATCTTCTAGCTGGCCCCTGAGCTGTGCCCACCAGTGGCTTTCCCTCCACAGGAATCCTGTATGTGCCCAGGGGGGCTGAGGTTGACTGTGTGTCCCTCCTGAATAGCACCCTCAGCAGCAGCAGTTTTGAGGTGTACAAATGCTGCCTCAAGGCCTTCCAAAAGTAAGATCCTGGGCCATGGGGGGAGTGGAGGAGCAAAGTGTGAAGGAGCATACAGCACCCAAGTGCCTGGATGCCTTTGGCACAGGGAGGTGGGATAGAAAATGTCCTGGCTATAGCTGATGTGGCATGGGGAGGAGGAAGGGAAGACTTGAGGACCAAATCTGGGGAGGAAGTGTGGACCAGAGATGCACAGTGACTTTCCCAGGGTGCACAACCTGGCCTGCAGAGGTGGGCCTGGAGCTCACACTGTACCTTTGTTTTCTTTTCAGCACCAGTCTGGAGTTCAGCCCAGTGGCGCTGGACAACTGCTGTCGATTTTACAACCACACAATCTGTACATAGCGGGGACAAAACATCCTTGGGGCCGTTCTTCCCAGGAAGCATCAGTCCTCACCCTTCCCATTCTAGGAAGCCACAGGGCTAGACCTGCCTCTGTCCCACAATTGGGAGGGTGACAGAGCAAGTGGCAAGTGAGTGGGGACATAAGAAAATGGAGGATACCTCCTACTCCTGATCTCCTTTCCACTCCTGTTTCCTAGCTTCCCAAACTTGAGTTCTCAGAGTCACCTCTGCCTTCTCCTCTCTCGCCTCTACATCTAACAGCACTATGGACCTCTCTATTGCTCTCTCCTTGGGGTCTCTAGTGTACACCTTCCCTTGTATTATCACAAGTGTGTCACACCCAAAGCCTCCTTCTCTCCCCTCTTCCCTCCCTGAGTGCCGGACTGTCTTTGTGTCGTCTTCTGCTAGAAGTTGTCTTCTGGAGACCCTTCCTCTTCTTTCAGAATCCCACACTCCCTTCCCCATGGCATTTCCCAAATTGGTGTCCTGTGGAACATTGTCCCTTGGGGCAGTCAGAGGATTTCAGGATCCACCAGGTTTGGAAATAAAGTTAGATAGGGTTGGGGGTTTTGTTGTTTGTTTGTTTGTTTGTTTTTTACTGTGGACTTGTCCCCAATTCATAGGGATATTATATGTTTTCCAAACTTATTTTATCATAAGAATTTTTTTTTTGGTACTGGGGATTAAATCCAGGGGTACTTTACCCCAGCCTTTTATTTGTTGTTGTTGTTGTTGCTGTTTTGAGACAGGTTGCTGAGGCTAGCCTTGAACTTGTGATCCTCCTGTCTCAGCCTCCCAAGTAGCTGGGATTTTAGGCATGCAATACAGTGCCCAGCGCATAAAAACTTTTTTGATGAGAGCATCTCCTGTTTGAAGTTTCATGGAATACATCTGGGGAAATATTGGTTAATGCTCAAACTACTTTACCTTCTTGACTAGTAAATGTTTACAAAGCCCTTTGTGCCAGGCACTGTTCTTGGTGTTTTATATGTTTTAATTCAATTCTTAGAGTAATCCTATGAGATTGATACTACTGTCAGCCCAAGTTGAAGAATCAGAGTCCCAAGAGGTTAAGTAACTTGCCCAGAGTGATGCAAGGAGGACAGGTAGGATTTAAACCCAGGGCATCCAAATCTACTACATGGTGTTCACCTCTGTTGACTGCTAGTGTTGGAAGAACTCTGTTAGGTATCTTTGCCCTCACCTCCTCCCCCTGACTTTTCTTCCAATCCAAGCCCTCTGCTTTAGGGGGGTCAGGTGTTGTCACCTTTTTCTGGATCCTCTCCATCTCCTTCCAGCCTGTGCTGCTCCCATTTCAGTGATCATTTTCCCCAGCAGCTTTGGCTTCAGTGACCTGCAAAGCACCTTGTCCCCGTGGTCACTGGGAATTGGCACCTTCACCCCTACTCACTACATCTCACTTCCTTTCCAGTTCAGCTGCCCTGGGTGGCAGCTACCAGGTTCAGCCACAGTGGGCCAAGTCCTGCATCTGTCTGTCAGTGGGTGCTGCCTCTGCCCCTTGATCACCACAGGCTGACTGAGTCAAAGCCTAAGTCCTTCCCTTAGCCCTGCAGAACGGAGCTTGGCCTACTCCCACACCTGAGGGCTATGGTCCCTGCCTTGCTCTTCGCAGCCCCCTACTCAGCCCCTGCCCCTGCTCCAGCTCCCCTTGGGCTGTTGGTAGGATGACCACACAACCATCTCTCAGGATCACCACCTGCCCCTTCTACTATCTGATGGCTGCAGCCAGTCAGATCTTGGAATAGTCCATGGATGCCCTTGTGCAGCATCCCCAGATCCCTGCACACTTCACATGGCCAGTGGCATTCCCTGGAAGACTATAAGTCCCTGGGACACCAGGCTCACAATACTTCTGTTTTCTCCCCAGTGCCTAGCACAGTGCTGGACTCATTAAAGGTGCTGAATAAATGTTTGTAGAGTTGAATTGCAACTTCTCTAAGGGGCTCCATGTGTAGAACATGCTGTATAGGATAGATTGCTGTTGTGATCTGGGGGACAGGCAAGATTAAGAGCTCCTTCATCATAGAGCAGTAGATTTCTACCCTCTCCATCACCCACCATGCTCCTTCTTTCTTATCTTGCACCCACAGAAGTTGGGAGCCCCGTGAGGATGAGGCTGCAAATACATACAGTTTCGAGGAGGCCCCAGTGCTGATACTAGATGCCCAGGCTTAATTGCAACCCAGGCACAGAAGCAGCAGATTCCTCCACCAACCCCTCCCACAGTCATGACAGGCATTGCTAATCTATCACAGAACTCCTCTCACTGCCTCTAGAAGAAACTTCAGATTCTGTAACAGCTCAGCATTAGATAAGCCCACTAACAAGTGGTTCAAGGTGCCTTTTCAGGAGATAAATATTTGCTACCTCTGTGCTATGAAATAGACCCAAACTACCATTGAGTTTATGTATAAAAGGGATTGAAGGTTTTGTAAAAAGACTGTAGAAATTAAAAGAGGTACGAAACAGAGGGATTCCCAAAAAGAATGGAAGTTGTGTTAGTAATTCTTCTATTCTAAAACTACTACAAAATTCGTATGTTGAAATTGTAATTTCATGATGATGGCATTAAGAGGTGGGGCCTTTGGGATATGATTAGGTCATGAGGGTGGAGCCCTCACAAATGGGATTAGAGCCCTTATAAAGGCTCTGGAGAGTTTCCTCACCCACCATGTGAGGTTAGAGTGAGAAGTTGTCACTCTGCAAGCCAGAATTCAACCATGCTGGCACGCTGACCCTGGACTCCCAGCCCCAAGATCTGTGAGAAATAAATTTTGTTTATGAACCACCCAGTTGATGATATTTTGTTATAGAGTCTGAACTAAGAGCCCCCACCCTCATGATGTCATCAGAACCTAATTATCTGCCAAAGGCCCCACCTGCAAATCCCATCCCACTGAGGGCTGGAGCTTCAACATATCAATTAAGGGGGGATATAATACAGTCTATAAAGTCCTACTGTGTGCCAGACTCTGAGCTAAAACTGAGAGAACAGCTGAGAACCAAACTCTAATGAGCTAAAGGAGTGGAATCTTCCTTAGAGAAGAGGGACTGGAAAAGGAAATCCCAAGAGCCTCTTGCAGTAAGGAGACCTTGAGAAGAGGGAGGAGGGAAATGATCTCTAGGAAGACTTCTCAGGTTTCCATTGGTAGATCTGCTAATGGCATTTTTGAGACTAATTAGATATTATAAAGTAAAAATAAGGCCAGGGTAGGATTATACAAATTATGGTTTATAGTGTTATAGTGTTGAGTTACTTTAACACAGAATACACTGCAATATTGGGCTAACTACAAGATAATGATTTTTTTACATAAAACTTAATTTATTATTAATAATAAAATCCATTTTTATTTATATCAAGTATGTCAATTGATCACACATTTTTACATAAATATGTTTCTTGAAACAAGTAGATTCAGGGTTGGGGCTGTAGCTCAGTGGCAGAGCATCTGTCTAGCACATATCAGCCACTGGGTTTGATCTTTAGCACCACATAAAAATAAACAAATAAAATAAAGGCATGCTGTTCATCTACAACTACAAAAAAAAAATAAAAAGAAAGAAACAAGTAGATGCTGTGTTCTTCTATATTTAGTGTAATAATAATCAACATACAAGATTCAATTGTTTTTTTATTTTTTTAAATGTAAACTTCTTTTTTTATATACCTTTATTCCATTCGTTTATTTTTATGTGGTGCTGAGGATCAAACACAGGACCCTGTGCATGCTAGGCGAGCACTCTACCACTGAGCCACAACCCCAGCCCCTCAATTGTTATTTTAAATTAAATTCTAGTGGGGTGATGTGTTGAATTCCTTTCAGACCTGTGACCATATGAATGACTTAATTTGGAGATATTAGCAAAAGTCCACATTGACATCTCTCATGGGTGGAAGGCTCCTGACCTCTCCTGTTGTCCCCTGCATAGTCTTGATCCCCAACAAAAGAACTGAATGGGCTTTGCTCATGGAAATGACTGGAGACCCCAAGCATTTTGAGAGCAGAACCCATGCAGCAGGGCTGGCAGTGGCCATCTAGGGAGCTGCCTGTAGCCAGGCTCGGAGCAGCTAGAGAGGGACTATCCTGCTTCCAAGATGGTGCAGGGCCTGCCAGGGGAAGGTAGGGACAGCATGCTCTAAGGAGAAAGCCAGGAGCTCAGTGGGGTAAGACTGGGATGTTGGCCTGTTGGTGATGGGCCCAGGCCTCATTGTCACATCTAGAGAATAAGGAGGACATATGGATGTGGGTAAGGTAAAGGAGAGCCCAAAATTCTAGTCTGTATGAGGCACACAAATCAATCAGACTGATCCATACAACTTCCTACAGTAGGCTTTCTCCACTCTTGGTACTGAAGGCCATTTCCCCCTAATCTGTCCGAGGCCAACACTTTTATAAAGAAAATAAAAATGAATCATTGGGAAAAAAAATAGTAAAAACATATGAAGTACAGTCATCCATTGTTGGGGATTGGTTTCAGGATCCCTGGCGGATACCCAAATCATGGGTGCTCAAGTTCCTTATATAAAATGGTGTAGTATTTACATATAACCTAAGTTCATCCTCCCTTATACTTTAGACCCTCTCTAGGTTATTTGTACTGTGACACCATTAGGCCCAAAGCAAAAGGTTGAAGTTATCATGAACTTATGAGCCCAAGTAAGACTTTCCTCCTTTAAAGTTGATTATTTCAGGTATTTTTTATAGTAATGAAAATGTTCGTGCTAAATAAATGGTGCTAGACTGTGTTTATTAAAATTGGAAATGCTACATAAATAGTGTTGTACTATATTGTTGAAGGAATGATGATAAGAAGTAAAGTTTGTTCTTGTTCAGTACAGACAGAATTTGTTAAAAGAATATTTTCTGTTATCTATGGATGTAGAACCCATAAATACAGAGGGCAGCTTGTACAAGCCCCAATTATTTGTTGTTAGAGTCAATACAATTACTATTTATTTTGCCATGAAAGCTCCTAAATGTTGCTCTTAATTTCTGTACTTACATTATTCCTAGACCCATAAACAGATATAGATCATGGTGGTCCATGGCCCACATTTTGAATAGTTCTGCCTTCATAGTACTTCTGTTAATGAAAACTGCAGAGAATTATCTGCTCAGAGGCTTGCCCCACATTTCTAATTCTATCAGGATAGATGGGAAAAGGCAATAGGAGGCTTGGTAGAACCCTTGAAACTTTGCCTTTCATATGAGATAAGGCATGCAAAATTGTATTAACAATTGAAGAAGGTCCAAATAATTTATGCAAATGATTCCCTCTCAGTGGGTGGAGCATTATTCCTACTGCTTAAATGTCCTCTAAAGATATCTATATTTGGCTGGGGTTGTGGCTCAGTGGTACAGCGCTTGCCTAGCATGTGTGAGGCACTGGGTTCAATTCTCAGCACTGCCTATAAATAAAATAAAGGTCCATTGACAACATGTGTGTGTGTGTGTGTGTGTATATATATATTTTTTTTTAAGGCTTGGTTCCAAATGTATTAGCCATGTTCAAATGTAGATCATGAGGGCTCTTATAGAAACTATAGGAGGAAGAAATTTTGGAGGTGGGCTAATTGGAAGAAATAGGTCACTAGGAGCATGTGCTGGAAGGGTATGTCCTGTGTCCGCTCCACCTTGCTTCTTGTCTTCCATGAAGTGAGCAGCTTTGTTCTGCCATGTGTTTCCACCATGATATACTGCCTCACCATGGGCCCAGAAACAATGGAACTAGCTGACCATGGTCAAAAGCCTTTGAAACTGTGAGCCAAAATAAATATTTCTTCCCTTAAGTAGAGTCTCTCAGGTATTTTGTCACAGCAATGAAAAGCTGACCAACACAGCTGCTATAACAAAATACCACAAATGGCTTATAAACAACAAAAAATTTATTTCTCACAGTTCTGGAGGCTAGGAAGTTCCAGATCAAGGCGC